TTGCAGGAGTGGGTGCATCTTAATGATCTTAAGGTGTATTTATGAAGAGGAGAGAAGGAAGCAGGTGTGGAATTAGTAGATATATTGGAGTATGAATGGAGGAGTTTATTGGGGAAGGTGATGGATATCTATGGGGTAGATAGAAAGGCAGAGCAAGGTGGAAGTCAGAGATATCTGGAGTGGATAGAGGATGCCCCAAGAGTGGGATAAGCCAGGTTTGGAGGAAATCATGTTTAGTGTCACGAACGTGGCTTAGCATGAAAAAGGTTTTCACGTGACACATGGTTATGAGTCACAGGTATGTTATTGCTTTGCGCATATGACCAATTCAGGTTATATAATTTGTTATGTGTGGGATTTGTGATGCTTTCGCACATGGCTCAAGTATGAGTCATGGGACGTGCGCCTGACGAGTATGCCTTGCGAGGGTGCCTTGCGGATAGGCCTTGCGCATATGATTTATGTTTCGCACATGACCTCATTATGAGGTCATGAGCTTCGCGCATATGACTCAGTCGAGTCATATGACTTGTTTATTGTGTTATGATTAGTTTATGAGTTTTGTACATGACCTCACTATGAGGTCATGGGTTTTGAGCATGTGATCACTTTAGTCACATGACTAGTTTGTTATGATTTGGTTTCGTACATGTGACCACTTTAGGTCACATGACTAAAGGCGGGAAGAATACTATATAAGGAGGTCGATGCGGCCGAGGAAGATAGGTTCTTCACGCTTTGTTCTAAGTACTTTTCCTGGTCCTTGCCGTCGCTTCGCCCCGAGCGTTTCTTTCGCCCTCATGGTGGGCCTTGATGCCTTTGATTCTGGGGGAGATATCTGAGTTCGCTCAGTAGTTCCTGGGGTCTTTGGTGTTGAGGTCTGCTAGGCGTTGCGTGGCGGATAACTTGTTTGCGTCTCGTTTCGTTGGACTGGTTATCTCACGATACTAGCACTTCGAGCACTCATCACGGTCGCATACGTGCCCCTTTCAGTAAAAAGTCTACGGCTTCCTGTCTATCGTCTACTCGCAGGTTTCGCGTTCGATTGGGGGGATTGAACATTGTGTTTGGGGGGATCACCCGTGTCGTTCTTTGGGCCAGCTCATGTCTTTTGTTGGGTTTTAACGGAGTCCTTAGTTCTCGCGATACAAAACGCCCTTGGGTTAGACTAATGACCTTCTCAAGTATCAACTCGTCATACCGGCCGCATCATTTCCTTAAGGGAGGGGGCCTCGCCGGCCCCTCCCTGCCTCGTTACTTTATGTTTCTACGGTCGGAATCCTACGATGTTGTTTATCACCGTTCCCTTGAAAGTTTTGTCCTTGCGGCATATACGGTGGTTCAGTCAGGTGTCACCTCCTAGCTACGGTGGGGATGGCTTTGACCCTGAAAAACCTTACCCCCTGGAGTGGTTTTTCTTTGCTGCCTGGGGTGGTGTGGGACAATTGGCTGCCAGGCACTCGCGTTGTCTGTGCGTCTGGGTGCTTCAGTTGTGGTCTGTGGTTGGCGGCTTCACCCATTGCAAGTGGGGCCTACCTTCCGTTTGTCTACTTCTGTTCGATTCGCCCTTCCCCTCTTGTCGCGTCAGTTGGGGATGCCTCTTGCCTGTCATGTTCGGCATCCGTGCCTGTTGCCAGACCTGTGGGGCTGGCTTTGGCTGGCTCTGCTTACTCTTTCCCGACTCGGTTGGATTTCAGTTCGGCTGGGCTGGATGGTGTGGCTGGTGCCGCCACCTTCGGGTGTTGGTGCTGCCTCCTTTGTGGCTCCCGGCTGTGGCTGGTAGGCTCCCCTCGGCTATATGGTGCTGGGGGTTGGGGCTCTGAACGTGTGGCCAAGATCAATGGCTGCCTGGCGGGGCTGGGTATAAGCTGTCCTATGGCCGTCGGATGGTTAATCTGTCTGAGGGGCTGGGGGGGCTGGGGGGGCTGGATGGGCTCTGTGGCGTCTGGTGTGTGGGGCTTGGGGGGGGCTGATTGGGGGGGGAGAGGCACCTGCGAGCACCGGTCGGGCATGCGTCAGGTTGGGCGATGTCTAATTAAGTGTTTCCGGACCGGTTTGGGCTGCTGGGCGAAGCTGCTGAGTGCTGTAAAGCTCCCCGGCGGACCGCTGGACTGATGGCCACCTGTGCGGATAGTGGGTTGCGACCACCTGGTTGGACTTGTTTGGGTTCTGCGTGCTGGGTGTTGTGGAAGTTTGTTTGGTTTCTTTGGTTTGGCAATAGGCACGGCTGGCAGGGGCAAGGCACCAAGGGTGGGAAATAGGCCCCACTGACTTTTTTGGTCTGTCACCACCTCTATGTATTTCCTTTGTTTATTAGTTTGTTTTGGGGGACAGGCAGTGGGTACAGGTCCTCCTCACCATTACGCTCCTCGGAGGCACTTGGCAAAGTGGGTTTATAGGGTCGACGGCCTGGCATGCGGATGCGAGAGGCGGACATGTTGGTCACCTCCTCTCTGCCATTGTGTCGCCTGTAGTTTATATTTTGGTTTGTTGTTGGTTTTCTACTGTGGTGGAGGTGTTGCGGGACGGTATTTAGACCGGGTGGTAGTGGTTTTAATTTTATTGGACGAGGAACCTGGTTGGGTCGGTCTCTTGCTCGGCTTCGGCTACGCTTGGTGCTGGTTGGCTTCATACCAGAGGGGCTACGGACTTGGACTGGGAAGGGCGCTGGGTTGTTTGATGGTCTTGTAATTAGTTTCCGTGCGGGCATGACTCGGGGATGGCAGGTGCGGGACCGTAGACTTAGTTAGCCTAGGATTAGTGGTATGCCGGTTAGCGGTATCCCTGTGCCGGTGGGGGCTCGTCATATGCCAGTGTTGGTGGTACGAGTTTAAATAAAATTAGATTGACTTCTAAGTACTTTTCCTACTTATTACTTTAACGAATATAAAACATCTTTACGATCTTTATCTTTATTACAACGATATTATTACGCCCAGAAAAGTCCTTCAAGAAGACAAGTTAGAGAAAGCTTACGATAGGCGTTCCCGATAGAAGACAAAGGTCTTGTACTATCGGTAACGTAGGCAGAGGTCTAGAGCTATCGTAAGACAAGGAAAGAAGAAGACAGAAAGATAAGTATCATTCCCCGTCGCCAAGAACTAACTATCTAGAAAAGGATCGTTACATTTAGTCACTCAGCTGTTTACGAGGAAGGGAAGGGGAGGAAGTACAGTTAGATATTTCGCTAAAACCTAGCTAGATTTGTGGTTTGTTTAGCCTTTAGGGGCGAAGGCAGAAGAGGGGAGGGGGCTCTTGTGGAGAATTGCTTGATTTGAAGGTGCCTTTCATATATTTGATGGGGAGGAGGCTCTGGATATTTTTCATGTGTAAGAGGGGGCTTGGCATGCAGGATTTTCTTCTTATAGCTTTTTTTGTTTTTTTTCTCTTAGCAACAATGAGAACACACACACACCCACCACCGGGAAATAGAACTTTTCATCTCTACTGAACTGAGTCTACATTTCTTTCTTTAATTCCTCTGCGTTATTTGTGAAATTGGTAACTGCTCACCAGTTCCGATTATCAGGCAATTACTTTCTGGTATATCGTGAAGGTAAAGTGAGTTAGTGGGTAGGACACAGTGCGTAGTCAAACCACCATCCAGGAAAAGGGAAAGAAACCCCCCCCCCTTGACACCGGTACTAAAGCCTAATTTTCATTCTATCATACCTACCGTAGCCCTGGCACTGCCCATTTCACCTAACTAAAGGGATCTACGGAGGTACAGGCGCATAAGTTTTTGTATGTTCCACAAGCCTAGAGTGTCGCACTCTCTGCCTGTGGAACATACAAAACTTATGGACTGTACCTCCGTAGCTATCCGCCATGAGATACTCCCCCCAGCCAAGCGCCCCCCGCTTTGAAAGAAAAACCTCCTCCCTTCCCCCGCGGCGCGGCGTCGCACACAAAGAAAACTCCCCCTCCCCCCTTCAGCCCGCCCCTCAAACATAAAATAAATCCCCCACAAAAGAAACGCAGCCCTGCACCCCCTGCCCGCTGTTCGTGTACTGAAGAAAGTCCCACCACAAAAGAAACCTATCCCGTCACCTACGTGCCCAATAGTCGTGTACATTAGGAAACATAACCAGTAAGGAAACCTGCCCCGTCCCCTCCGGGCCCAGCAGTCGTGTGCGTAAGGAAATCTACGTCCCAGCTATAAAGCCCCTGGGCCCCAAGGCGCCGATAAAAGTATTGATATCGGGATTATCCCCAATATGACTCCGACCGAGAACCCACCCACCATCCATAACATCATACGATAGTGATGCATTCCCTCCGACTCCCCTTCCACCACAAAAGTCCCCCACAGATACCATACAAGTGGCACCATAGCACTATGACTCCTATCTCTAGCGCCCTCGCTAATCACCTAGAAGTCGACTTCCAAGACGCAGCTCTCTCCCAGAAAATCACCACAGACCGGCGATGCCACCACCTAGAATACACATGGTGGCTAAGCGTTACCTCCTCCTTCTCATTCATTCCTGGTACATATAGACAGCTACTACCCCTGCTCAAGCACAACAACCTCACCCCTAGCCACTTACAATACTCTTGCCCCCCCTTCCCGGAGGTGGAAAAGACATTATCAACACTGGCCCAAGACCCCACTCCCCGGGCGGGTGTTACCCCACGCTCTCCCTTACCATCGTGAGTTCGCAAGTGCTGGGGGGTGTGAGGTTCATTGGTGTCGACGATGCCAAGAGGTTTAAGCCTAATCCAGAGACGTAGAGATGCCTGTTGAAGCAATTGGGAAGGGAGGAGAGCCCGGCGGGTTTTGCGCTTTAGTGGGAATCCGTTTGATGCTATGGGCACCGGGAAGGTTGGTTTGGAGACTGGTAGGCTGGGGAGGCCAGGAAGGGCGGTGGTGGGGTTGAAGGGGGTTGCCGAGGGGGCTAGGAGTTGGTAAGATTGACGGAGTGTGAATTGGGATGGTTTGGCTTGTTTGTGGATATCGCACCTGACCTGGATTTGGCTATACCGGTAGCTGCATCACGTTTAGGACGCGGAAGTCGCCAGGCGACACATTGTGGATTCTGAGAGTGCCGACCCCGCAAACTGATGGATCACGGCATTCCCCACCATAAAACGTGAGCCGGGCCTGGTAAGGGAAAGAGAAGGGAAAAAATGTGCAAGAGCTAGCAACGAATGAAACAACCGATTTAGAACTAAAGAAAGGAAAATCTAAAAATAAAGTAGAATAAAAATAAAAATAAAAGACTTTCTCAGACTTCTGACTCCGCAAACTCAAAGTGTCCCGGACCCGGTTATGGTATATTTTTGTTTTAAGCCGATTTCGAGAAGATCGCTCCAGGCACCCGCACCAGCCCTCACCCTACCCCCTAAGCCGGCTGCTCATACGCACGTTTGATAACCCTTTGAAATTCTACATTTTCCCACCAAACATTAGACACCTTCCCAGCCCACCAGCCAGCCAGCAAACGGGTAAAGAAGGAAGGAAGGGGCAAGCTCACGATCGAACTTCACATTCTCCCTAGTAACTGTAGTCTTCGCCTCATTTTCCTTGTTCAGCGGAATCTTGACTACATCCCCCTCAATGGCCCATCCACAGCTCCCCTTAATAAAGCTCTCGAACCCATCAGCGGTGAGATTCAACCAGCCCTCCAACAGCTCCCTGTTAATCTCACGATTGGACTGGGCTGTGGTGCTGGCGATGCGGAGCCTGATCAGCTCCTCGAAGCCGGCACAGTCAGTGATCAGGTCGGCGTACAAGTCATCGGACTCGAGCGTCATCCAGAATTCCCTATATTCGCAGGCTTCCAAGAGGCGGGAAAGGGAGAATAGCTTTAGCACAGCTTCCGCAAAGGGGTCGATCGGCGGTTCGGTCAGGGCGTTGGCGGGAAGGAGATGCAGGCAGAGGCCGAAGTCGGCGGATGGGAAGACAGTGAGGGCCTTAACGAGGATGTTGGTAATTGTCTCGTCGCGGGTGAGGTGGGGGTTGAACTGGTAGCTTTTTTTTTTTGTAGGGTATTCTCGTTAGCTTCCTTTTACTCCGGAATGAAGGAGGGGGGAAGAATATGCGATGGCAGGGAGAGGTTGCGGTTTATCAGAAAATGACAAATTTCTCTCAGTTGAAGAGGGTTCATTCTCTTCTCGGGTAATAGGAAACGTTGACGATATACTCATCACAGTAACAAAAAAAGAGGAAACATGAAAGTTAAAATATAGAATACTCACAGTTTCAGAAGAGCCAAATTTGCGAGGCTGTCATAGGTCCTGTTCTCACATTGTTGCTGTACGTAGTCTTGAAAAATCGTGACGGTTTCCGGGTTGTAACGATCGAGACTAGACAAGATCCCCTGTATATGCTCCGGTCGGGTGGAGGTATCGAATGTCATCTTGGCAATTGGTGTGAGTTTTGGTGGGTTGGATAGAATTTGGTGAGATGGAGATGGGAGTCAATAATGGAGTGGGAGGGAAGAGAAATTTCGCCAGCGATGTCGAAGGTCTGGGTTTAAAGTGGGGCTAACCCTAACTACCCCACCAAGCATCTTGCAACCTTTACGATACCGTAACGGGACAACTACAAAAGTAGCAATAGCCCCACTACTCGAGTACCGTAGTTCTCAACCAAATCGAATAAAACAAAAAGGAATAAATGCACAAATAGTATGAGAAGGTATCTGTGGATCAAAATTAATGAAAAAAAAAAGACCATTAAAGGTAATGTAAGAAAAGATGAAAATCGCTGTGCGCTACTTGACAACTCAGATCAACAACCAGATACCCCCCCAGCTCCCAGCGCCTCAGACCAATAAGGGGTTGCAACATGCCGGTTTAATCCACTCCACGTGACGAATATATTAATCGGCGGCACTCGTACTGTAACCTAAACCTTTCCTTCCCGCTCAACTATCCACCACCTCACCTATCAAACGTTGATCACTCCGAGTATAACCAGCTCCATGCCTTTTATCAATATATCTCCTAGGATGGCCATTAATCGCTTCCCTTTCACTGCCTGCCCCCAACCGGTTTTTGTGATTCTGATTAGAGATGCTTAGACTAAATGTTAGATAGATTCGGATGACACTTTGGTCTTGATGGAAGCTCCTTGGAAATGCCATTCCAAACTTCCCAGTTACCCCCGGGTATAAGTGAAGTATTTACCTGCCATCCCAAAGCTCTTAGATCGGTGTAGGATTTCGGTTGTCTCGGAATATTAACTTCCGGGGGTCCCGGAGGTGTCTTCCTCCCCTCGGTGACCTTCTTCTGAGACTTTTGCTCCTGTATGATTGTGTGCGTCAGTATTTTAGTTATCCAAATACCTCATTGCATAACTACTAATCCGAATTGCTGGAATTTCCAAGTAGAGGTATCGGAGAGGACCTTACGGGAGATCGTCTTCTCACCGACTCCTGCCGGCGCAGACTCGAGAATTCTGGCTGCGATAAGGAATGGTACCAGTGATCTTCAAACATGGAATATGCAATTGATGACTCCAGGACTGGTTTTTTGATCGGCGTTGGTGAGGTTCCCAAGCTTGTCGATAAGTTGTGAGCCTTGAATGAAGTGGAAACGATACCGGTACTCCACCAACTCCTCCAAAGATCCATTAACTTACCATACGGTAGTCTAGCCAGATTGCGCGTATCCACCGTCGAACGCACAGCCGCAGAAGGGGCGCTGGCGGGGTGTTGGTGGCCCTTCAGTTACCCTGCTGTGGCGCCTTGTGCAAAAGAAGGCGGTTGTTGTTTCAGTATGATACCGTATGTTACTGGGTATTTGTAGAAGATCTTGATGTCATTTACCATAAAGCAGCAAACATTTACTGGCAACGCGGTTCTTTCTCCGCCAGCCCAAAGAGCAAAGGCTTTCGAAAAAGTCCGCTTGTGTAAGACTCCAATCTCTATTAATTACACACATATTCTCTTTCCTGACAGAAGCAAGAAAGCGCCCTATTATCAACGTCTAGAACAATGTTCAAGCCTATTGGTACCACTTCGAGTCTTCGGTTCCTACTTTCGAGGCACGCAAAGCTAGGGGGCCGGTTTGTTTATTGTCGGAACACATCTACAAGCCCTTACAATCACACTTCATCCAATCTCTCCACCAGAAATCGAAAGACTATTACTACTACCTTAGGGTTGTTGGGTGGCCTTGCTATTTGCCAATGGGCATTTGGGATGGAAGTGCATGCCGAAGCCCCTCCTGTAATTTCTACCGGGGGCCTTAAAAGGGAGTTAAGCGTACAGCACATCCAGGTTTGCTGAAGAATCTCTGGAGGGAATCCCAGACACCAGCATTCTGATGGCGTCTGTAATTTAGGTAGAGAATAGTCTGCAAAACCCGGGCGTCTACGCATGGGGAAACAATGTGTATATATCCCGCTCCCAGCAAATGCAGAAAGTAGCTAACTTGCAGAAGTGGCCGAGTAGTAGCCCCTGATTCGGACAACACTCTCATAAAGTCACCCCGCCGTCTTCCCTTCTTTGATAATATGCTGCTTCGAGATCTCAATTTGGGCCGCAACATCGGGGGTAAGGTAACCATTCTTTCTCCAGTTCACATGGATTGATAGGCTAATACGTGATACTCAGTGGCCGTCACGGAAAGGGGAGATCTGCTCCAGTGGGGTATAGCCTATGCAGATGGCGTCGGAACACCAGAAATCACTTTGAAAGGAAAGAATATCCTGAGAGTTCAACTCTCGCAAGATAGGGTCTTTGCCCTCTCAAAAGATGGCACAGTTTACAGTCTCCCAATGGCTAAAAAATATCAACTCTCCGGCGCAAAACCCTCTGAAGCCTCTTGGATTCCCGGTTTAACTTCAGAGGCCAATATCCATTACAGGACACTAAAGCCGGAGTTAAGATACTTTGAGAGGCAAGTTCGAGCATCCACCACTTTCCAGTTTACACAATACTGACTGTTTTCCAGCGTTGTGGACATCGCTTCTGGTTTTGATCATATCCTTCTCCTCACTTCTCAGGGGCGTGTATTTTCGGCAGCTGCTTCTTCTTCGTTTCCAGTGAGGGGGCAGACAGGCATTCCAGGGTTAACCTATGCTACCCGTCCGAAGGACAAACCCTACGACACATGTCACGAAATTACCGGTCTCAATGGACACAGGATCACGAAAATTGCAGCTGGTGATTACCACTCTCTAGTTCGTGACAACAAGGGTCAGGTACTCTCATTTGGGGAAAATACGAACGGCCAACTTGGGTTTGACTATGACACCGAAAACGATATTGTTCCGACTCCTAGACCCTTACCATTAAAGTCCCAGTATCCAGGGACAAATCTGACGGTGACCGTAAAGACCTTGGCTGCCGGTGGGGCAAACAGCTACTTTGTGGTGAATGTTGAGGATATTCAGAAAGCAAAAGTTACTTCAGATTTACTCGCTTGCGGGACTGGGATTTTCGGAAACCTGGGAAATGGGAAGTGGACTCATGTCCAAGGGTCGCCAATCAAGGTCAAATCGTTGAGCGGACTTTCTGAATGTTAATTTCCCAATCCCCAAATCCTTTAGAACAGCCGATTGTTAATTAACCCACCGTGATCTATAGACGATGAAAGGGTTAATAAGGTTATACCTATAAGGCCAAAATACCTTTCGGTTGGCGCAACCCATACCTCTGCAATAATGAATAACCTCACGAAAGTAGACGCTTCCTCTTCTCCGAACTCGCCTGTATATGATGTCAACTATGGCGCCGATGTCCTTTGGTGGGGTAGTAACGAGTATTATCAACTCGGAACAGGTAAGCGCGCAAATTCGTGCGTGCCCGTGTATATTCCGCCCCTCGATCCCGTTCCAGAAGATATGGCCCCGGACAAGGCCAGCGGCATGACAGGCTCCTCAACTCAAGGAGACTTGAGAAGGAAGAGCGGCATCATAGGTGGAAAGGGCGATGACGTCGGGGGCGGCATGTCCACGCGAAAGGACCAGGTGCATAGATTCCAAATCACCCCAAGGAAAAAAGCCAATATTTCGGGAAGGGCGGTGGAGTTTGAGCAGAGGATCTCCTGTGGTCAAGGAAATACTGCTGTTTATTCAGCAGTTTAGGATGAATGGCGCCATCTCTACTTTTTGGCTAGACTTGGTTTTGTAAGATAGAATGTGAAGAAGAAGAAAGCTCTTCGCTCATCCACCCACCGGGAAGCTAGCTGTATAATTATTATTAAACCCACATTGGAGCATGCGATGTGCTCACTCAACTGTGGTGCTAGTACGGCACACAGGTACAGTATAGCAGCTTTGGGGATTTCTATCCACACAATCTCACTCGAATATTCAAGAACAAAAAAGAAAAGGTGAGTGCCTACTTGAGTATCATAGGTCAGAAACCATGTATCACTTCTTTCATAGCAAGCGAAATTGCACCGCCCGAACAGTACTCATAGCCCTGTTTTGTAGCTTCACAAGGCAATTCCTACCGTAGTCGCAAGATGTTTTAGTCGGCCCACCAGTCTTGGTAGCAAGGGTGCTTGTTTAGTCATGACGAGCCAACCGAACTACTCGTAGCGGGCAAGATATATTCGATAATACGAGTTCTAGAGTCTATATATCACACACGGATCTTTTGCTATATATGTTTCTGGATACTCCCTGCCTGCCACGAGTAGCTTCCTTTGCTGCCATACGAGTACTCGAGGGCAGCGCCGGCCCTGGTCTGGTTCATGCGGATTAGCTTCTTCGTACCCAAGTTACCGTACTTGCGCTGTGCAAGCAGGCAAAAGATCAATGCCCCATTGTCGTACTTGTATGAGAAGGGGGTTCACTTGCGTGTATCATACAGTGGCCCACAGGGAGCCTTATCTTATGGCCAAGGGTTAGCTATATCAGACCGGGATTGCGCAGAAAAAAATATTTCATGATGCAAAACTGACCCCTGACCGATAGTGGACAAACCCTAACGATAACAACATGGCGGGATGGAGATGGCTCGGGGTGATTACTCAGTTATTTGCAAGTATACCGTACTTGTAATATAGTGCTCGAGTACCGTACTGTCATACTTGTGCCGTCTAGTGATGGGGAGAGAGAGAGAGGGTTATGTGAGGTTAAAAAGTCTGGGGATTATGTACTCGTGCCGTTATGATACAGTACTCGCAACAGGCAAGGAGCACCAAGACACAGGGAGGGGATTCTCAAAAATGCATAGTAGTAAAGGTCCGTGCGTAAAGTACCTGAGCGCCCCACACAAACTCACGACCTGTTATTTTCGGATACTTCCTGCCTTGCTTCAGCACGAGTTGTCGACAGTTACGGGCTGCGGTATCTAAATTCATGTGATACCGGTACTCGAGTATTGACGTCCGCGTCAAGCCCCTCGACAGCCGGCTCCTGGCTGGAATGCCCGGGCTGGTGATGAAACTGGGCGGATTAGGCTCTCCACGTACGGTACGAGGAGGAATGAGTTGGTGAACAGCCCTAGCCTCAGGGGGGCTGGTTGGATTCGGTGGCACTATCATACCGGTATTCGTTAAGCATGGATTTATAGAGTCCTCCCGTCACTACGAGGTTTGAAGGCGAATGTAACATTCCGTGCTCTACCGGTAGGGGGAGGAGAAGGTTCCTGGCGGTGGTGGATAGGGCGCGAGTACGGTGGATTTGACTACTCGAGCAGAGTACGAGTAGAGTAGAGTACTGTACTCGTACAGTACAGTACACACCCCTTCTTACCGCCATGCTAGTTTGGTTGTGGGGTCGAGATAAGTGGAATGCCAAGATTTGTTTTGACTAAACAGATATGGAAAGAGAACGAGAGCGAGCATGTTTCGAACAACGGGCGGGGCCAACGGTGAGACCTCACTTTGTACCAACAGCTTTGGGATAGGTTCACAGCACTTATTACAATGTCATTGTGTGAATGTTCCCTGATGAGCAAGGCCAGAACAGGAAGGCGCAGGGGGAAAGACTGCAGGCACATTACTGTACTCGCCCAATCAAAAGTCTGTCCCCGAGAGAAAAATTTAGCCGCCGGTGGCATCACCGCAATTACTCCCTTTTGGCAGCCTTCGCGGTAGGGGAATTCTGTTGGTAGTCCAGTAAGTACTTGTAGTGCTGAGAGGCTATGAGAGGAGGGTGCGGTTCTCAAGAGCAGGTTGTGGTGAGCGGTCGTCTGTGCATAGGTTTAACGGTCGGGGACAGACTTTTGATTCTGGGGAGTACTGTACCGTATCGCACAGCACTATCATAATGCGCCGTGGAATTGTATATTTTTTTTTCTTTTCTCTTCGCATTAGTTATTATAAACCTTGGTGGATGTGTTGGGAGTGGCTTAAGAGGAGTAGAAAAATCCAGAGGCTATTTTGGAGAGGAAGGATTCATAGGGGAAGCCCATCTGATCTCAAACGTCGCAACAAAGTTTCGTTGGGTCGCACATTGTAACCCCTGCACTCACCTACCAACCCGTTTTGGCTACGAATAGTTAACCGCTAGTCCCTGACTGTTGAACATGTTTCCAACCCCTTATGTTCAATGCTAGACGACCCGGTTCTGCAGGGCCCCACGCGAACCCACTAATTGGCCCCTCCTGTTGGTGGGGGGATTAACTATAGACGGAGGGGGGGGAGAGGGATGTCAATAGCAGCAACATCACCAAAGAGTTATCGAACCGGTAAGCCTTTTTTCCCAGAATGTTCCCGTTACAGCCAGTGTATCAGGAATCACTCGCTCAGCTGTAGCTTGTGCACCGCTAAACACCCCCGGTCCCTTGGATGTATATTTATATCGTTACTCCCTTCCGCCCAGTTTTCCTCTTCTTCCTCTCACCACCACAGTGTCGCCCACTCCCGTTTTAATCTAATCCTTTCTCCTGTTCCCATTCTTTCGCATTTTCAAGTCGACCGGTTCGACCACCAGACCTTTCTCTTCTTGCTGTTTTTCCCTTCCTTTTCCACCTTACGTCTCTCCCATACACAAGTTCCTTTTTTCTCTCGTGTCATCCTTGCTCCATACCCGAAAAGGATTTAAGAACCGAAAAATCGTATCGGAAAAGAAAAGAAAAGAAGGAAAAAAAAAAGATAAATCAAGTCAATATGCAGAACATCAGCATCCTCACTGTTTTCACTCTCTTCTTTGCTGCCCTCGCCATCGCGGCCCCGGTCGTCGTTGAGCGCCAGATTACACCCGTAGGCAGTAAGTCATTTCACGCCCACAAGAAAATAAAAATAAAAGGTAGACTAACGATTCATTCTAGCCAACCAGTACGGTGACGACGGCGTCCCATCAAAGACCGACGGCTCCGGCCAAGTTGTCCCGGTTGTCCCAGGCACCGCAAAGGGTGTCTCCGGGGCCCAATAAAGCGGCTCAGTGCGCACTCTCGGGACATGCTATAAATGTACAATATCACTTCTCCAACCATCTCATGCCATGTCCCAGAACTTGCTCGCCATCTCTCGTCTCGTCTGAAAACAAATCGTATCGTTCATGCATTTCTTCTCTCTCTCAATTCAAATTCTGCACCTCCTTTCCTCTACCTTCCCGGGTGTAAATTTTTTTTGACGACTTTTTATCCCAATAACTTGCCAACCCGCCTCCAAAGACCAATTTCGAGAACGGGTGACGCACGGTTTTCTTTTCTTTCTACTCTTCTAGATTATGATTTTTCGGCTTCTTTTTTCTTCTTCTTTTTCCTTTGTTGTACGGGGCAATTCAGCATGGGCATGAGTACTCGATAGTAGAGGAAGGCACCAGTGTGGGGATTTGCTAGTGGTGGATTGGGAAATATTTCTTTCTTTTGGGGTCTTGATGACTTTCGCTACCTTTTTTATTCTCGTTTTTTCGCTTCTTTGCATCCCTTTGTTCGGCTTGGTCATGCGGAAATTATGGGATTAAATTGGGATTTTTTTTTTGGTGGGTTGTGTTGTGGTCTTTTGTGTCGGGGTCGTAAACTAGTATAATTAACCCAAATACTTGATCGACTCGATACAAAATATATACGGTAATCTCATCCGAGGGGTCGTCTATGCTTGTGTCTCAAATGCGATACCCTTTCTGTTTTGCATGAAAAACCTGGTTTTAGGTTGGAATTCGGCTTGCTGTTGTGTCACAGGGGTTGCGGCTCCCCTTTTTGCTGATCACGAGTAACTTTGGACCGGATCAAGGGATTGGGACGTGGATGAGGTAGGATAAGTGGGATCTGGAATCGATGTTATGGTTAGAGGTTTTGGACAGGTTAGGCACCTGCTCAAGTTAAGTTGCGAAAAGATGGGCTGCAGGGTGGATGGTTAAGGATAGTTTTGGCTCCGGCGAGTGACTCACTGTGATGAACTCAAAATCAATTGGCTGGGCGATGGCTCCTGGACTATATTGACGATCAGCAAAAGATATGAAATTGCTATGATACCAGTGGGTTTTTGTAGGGCTTCTATTAACGGAAAATATTCCGCTATCATACTAGTCCCCCTAAAAAAGGATAAGACCTCCTCAATCTATGATAGACCAGAGGAGCTTTTCGCTTGCTCTCTATGTCGGCGTCATACTATTACTAAATTTGTCTAATTTCTCTTAGTCAGCTGCTAAAGCCCAGAGAGTGGCAAAAACATAACCGAGTGAGTGCCCGTGATAAGGTGTCGACTAGTATGGCCGCGTGTGCATGCTCAAACTCTCGTTATCCTGCTTCAATATAGATCTTCCCTTTCACCTCAAATGTCCGCCATGAATCCACGAAGAATCATATACGCGAGATGGCTCTCAGTGGCCATCCCGCTCCTCTACTTCCTCCTATGGACCACTACATCTTCAACAGCATACCCATACCTCCGCAGCCGGAACTACCTCCACCTCATTGAACCTAGCCCGACACACGAGCCTGAGGACTCGGCAGGACTGCCTAGGCCTCACAAGCTCAAGGGGCCCTTGTGGTGCAACGGCACCATAACTGCGGACCCTGCAGCCGGGGAGGAAACGTATGTTTGTGAAGGACAAACTGTGTGCAAAGGGGCTACAAGTTGTAACGGACCCTTGATATGCACCGGCTCTTGGCTCAATGATGAGGGGGTTCCGGCTTGCACTGGAGACCTGTTGTGTGACGGGACGCTGGCTTGCAATGAGATAATCCCCACTGCTTGCTTACCAGGATTGGGGATAATTCCTGATTGGGCGTTGGGACTTCTACTAGGGTTTTTGATCTTGGTATCTGGGATGATAACAGGGTGTACGGCGGCGTTTACTTGTTTGTTCTCGCCCCCAGAATCTTTTTTGCCAGCGGCACTAACCAATTGATGTAGCGCTGGATAGGTGAGCTTGGCCCCTTCGCTTGGTTGGAGTAATGGCTGAGAAGGTGTAGTGCAGAGTTAAGCATCTATACGATGGAGGAAACGAGGACTAATAAGTAAGCCCGTGATCGTCAGCACTTTTTTGATCTTTTCTCATCTCAAATAGGAGACTATTGGAAAAGATTTTGTGGTTGAAGACTTATTACACTTCTTGGGTTATCAGTATGCATTCAGTATAACACCCATTTAAATATATGACCCCGCTCACGGCCCTGGATCCAGGTTGTCTGTTGATGTGCAGTGTTACTATCAATCTTTCTCTTCCTTTAATATCTGCTTGCCTACTTGATAACCACCTCTGGGGCCTTTTGTTATCAGCAGGCCTTTTGATATCGGTCGGCGAGGTTCTGCCTCAGATTATCTTTCCCAGGTATCCGGTGGCTATTCTTGGGAACATGATGTGGTAAGTGGTTTCCGGATTTCTAGCGATTCTAAGCTCAAATACATAGGTTCATCTACATAATATTGGCTCTCTATGCAATCCCAGCGGGAATATTGGTTCTCATCCTTCATTATACGGTTGACCATGGGCCTAGGGAACGAAGGATAATTCACAATACGAAACAATTGAGTGCCTTGGTAGATCTACATCCTCGACAAAAGGGTAAAGCGGGGAAACTTTCTGTGGATAGTGTGAGGTGTGCAATGCCTCGTCTGCTGCTGATCCGTTTCTGGCAACCTAATAATTCGATTGATTACCGGTGGCTATAGGGTTATGCTGGGAGCTCTCGACCTGGAGAACAGAGTCGTGGGAGACATCATGAAACCCATCTCGGATGTCAAGATGCTTGACGTTAAAGACAGGATGAATATTCACCGTTGGAAAGAGGTCATTAACTGGGGGTACAGTAGAATCCCGGTTTACTCCTCAGTAGAAGAAGGTCCGACAGCACGTTCACCGTATCAAGACTGTCCAATTAAGATATGGGGTTATTTACATTGTTTTGTGGGGCTCGCGGTTCTACCCGTTGAAGGCACTTGCTAATTGCTATCCAGGATATGATGTCGCCGGACCCAGGAGAAGTCACGACTCTAAGAAGTGTTCCAATCCATGCATTACCAATAGTACCTGAAGACTATCCACTTTGGGATCTTCTGCACTTATTTCAGGTATCGTGTAACTTTGATCACAAATCTCCGCAATAACTTATACCCCTCCTATACTATACTGACCATCATCAGGAGGGGCTCTCGCAGTAGGTTTCCTTATACCTCACATCGGACCTTGAGCCCCTAATTGAATTACATCACAGCATAGCAGTTGTCGAGAAAGTAACCCGCGTTGAGCCGAAACCGCTGGAAGATACACCAGTTAATAACCCTGCTTCGAATTGGGACTGGAGAGGTGTATGGGAGGCAATCCGCAAGAATCTAAAGTTTATACGGAAAGAGGGGGATCACCAGCAGCCAGTGACCCATGCCCCAAAATATTGGACAGACTCGTCGATATATAGAGTGTCTAGGGAACAGCCTTTGGGGATAGTTACTATGGAAGATGTCCTTAAACCTCTGTTAAGATCATCAATATTCGACGAAAAGGATATATCCCATTACAGGCGTCGGAGGGGAAACGGGAACGACAGCCCTAGAAGAGTCTTCGAGAGTGAACTACAAAGCCCCTTTTCCGGGGGGTCTCTGGATAGCGAAGAACTGGAAATAGAGAGCGAGCTTCCGGCGGGGCTCGCTATCCGGCTAGCCACTAGGAATGGGGATAAAGGTTTGGACAGCACTGTTAGAAGGAAGCAAAACTCGGGAAACAACGATCTTTCTTTCTCCAAGCCTCTCGTCCCACTATCTGGTCGGGATAGAAGGAGAAAAGCACTGTCAGATCCCTTGGGCGGAGGACCAAGATACAATTCTCCTGATAGACTCCCTTCGGAAGCTAATGGGAAAAGAAAAGGGTTTGAGGCAAGAAAAGCTATGTCAGAAAACAATTACAGCACAAACGCATCTAATGATTTCGAGCTGGAAAGTTTTACTGAGACTAGCGTTCCCTCAAGCATATTCTCACATTCCACAGGCAACACATCCTATTTGATGGATTTGTTAGTGCTTACGGGAGAACACACAAACTCTTCAGATTTTGGCCTATCAACGCTAGATGAGGAAAGGTCGGCCTCTGTTCACAATACTTAAGCCTTTTATCGGGTTGATACTCCTAGGCACATGAATACTGTATTTTAATCAAGCGGTTGGGAGATTGAGGTGCCTTTAGTGGTTGTGTTTGGCGAGGGCAAGTCGATAGAATCCCTCTAAAGGTGGGGGAATGGAGGGGGGAATTGTTTGATCGAGGCCAAATCTGTGGGGTCAAATGGACAGGGGATCACGGGCAAGTGAGCACACATTATCACCCGATAGGATGGGAATGATTGAATTCGCTTCATTTGAAGACCACTAGAAACTACCTATAGTACATGTACTTGTCCCTGGGTTGTATTATGAAGCGGTAATAGGACGGAGGACTGCAGTGAAAAAAGCAAAACTCGCACATCATGGCGACGAAAAGTCCAGACTACCACTGCTTAGACACGCTATCATACCGGTACTAGGGATCCCCAAACAACTTCTAAAGAATCAGTTTTATGATATGAGCAAGACCCGTGCGCCACCCGGGGGGGCGGGGTGGCAAGGACCGACTGGCCGCAGGGTGAGAACTTGTATGAAAGGCCTTAGAATGAAAAAAATTAGGAACGACTCTAGGTATCATAAAAGGTCGACCAACGAAAGGGGTAGGTAAAATTTTCCAAATCCATGGCACCCAGCTGAGACCACGAAGTTGGGTGGAAACGTAAGAAGGGATCTGGAGACCAGGGTATACGATTGGAAATATCTTCTAGACAGGAAGTAAATTGCTTCTGATTGGGGACGGTGTAATGGCGCGTCTAAGTCCCGTATTTTAGAAAGCAAGTTACCACTGAGCCACCCTAGATCACTTGTCATATCATACTGAAAGCCGGATGGAGGCGTTGTGATCGAGGGAGAACAATGGCCAAGGGTCATCTTAGCAAATATCACACAGCATGCTTTTAGGGAAAGAAATGCACGGGTGCATATACTCGTATATATATATACACAAATGAGGGGGTAATACACCCGCCGCCAATCCTAGAAGTCACTCAACCACGCTCTACAGTTTGACCTCGATACCGGTAGATGTCACCGTACCGGTACGGTACAGTGTAAGTATGCGCACAAGCATAATTTATACTCGGGAGTTTATTAAAAATTAGGAACCACCGGTAGAGGGGGTGGCAATGTGCTCGAGGAGAGATTATTTGGTGGGGCAATTATGTTGTCTGGAAAGAAACATCATGACATTGTTGTCCCCGGGATATCATACTTGGTAGCCAGTCTTAGTTGCGAGTGTTTCCGAAGACCTTTGGTTTAAATTTATGGCTTTTAATTATGCCACCGAGTGTGGCAGGGGTGGCTCTAACTTACCGGTCCGGCTGAACGTCTGGTGGCTGCTGCAGCTGCGTGCCCGCCGTTGCGCTCGGAGATCCAAGAGGCCTCAAGAACTAGGTTCTGTCGCAACCCGAGAGCAGCTTAGTCAGCTATGCCAGGGGAACCCACTCTTTCTTATTTTTCTATCTGTCTTCTGTTCAGTTGAAGAGGACACGATGCTCAACTCACCTCCCCCCCCATCCCACATCAAATAATTAATTTTTCTACCTATATCTCCCTCTTTCTCCCCCCCTTCTCCTACGACGAAAGCTCTCCTCCTTCTCTCTCTCTTCTTTCTTTTTTCTTTTCAACTTCCTTCAAATTTTTCTCTTTTCTTTTAGAAGCATTTGGGGCAGTTCTCCCTGTCGCTCCTTTCCACGACATCATACCCCCCGAGGGAGCTTATTAAACGAGAGCTATAAACCACATATAGCAGCAGGTGAATCGCTGTTGCAACCATGTCGACAGACTATAACTATGACGACAAGGTATCATTATTCGCTAATGGAGCTGTTGATGGATCTTTGCTAACTGTGTTCTCTTAAAAAAACCCACAGGGGCAGTTTTTTCCCTACTTTGTACTGACCATACTTGGTTTAATTTTGTGCCCCTTGACATACTCAACCTTTGCGCCCAGTAAACGTATGACTTCTAGCTCGCGTCGTTTGCTGGCGAATCCTAATCTTACGTAGAACCGGGCATTTCGAAAACACCTTTAATAAAGGAAAATAACTATAAACCGCCTGGCAATGAGGCAATCGAGGCGGCGCGCCGCAGGCAGAAGAGGAAGGAGAGACGGCTTAAGAGATTCACTTCGATCGTCATCGGGTGGGCGCTGTTCGCATACATGGCATACCTTATCGCTGTGACAGCAAATGCCGATGGCAAGATCTGGGATCCATACGAAATCTTGGGTATCAGCATGGTAGGTTTGCGTTGGGAGAAATTGCCACTTAGAACTTCGCTGACCATATATACCCCCAGACTACGGATGAAAAAGCTATCAAGTCCCATTATAAGAAATTGTCCTTGAAATACCACCCGGATAAGATCCGCCCAACCGCCAACCAAACTCTCGAAGATCTCAACAATCACTTTGTCGAGCTTACCAAAGCTTACAAGGCGCTGACCGACGAAGATATCCGTAACAACTTTATCCAGTATGGTCACCCCGACGGAAAGCAATCCTTCTCGATTGGTATTGCCCTCCCAACATGGATCGTCTCTGAGGGAAACAACTATTACGTACTTGCCGTTTATGGATTGTTGTTTGGAATCTTGTTGCCATATTATGTTGGTCGATGGTGGTATGGAACCAAGAAGCACACGAAAGAAGGAGTCATGACGGAGAGCGCCGGAAGTCTCTTCAGAGCCTATGACGAGAACATTGATGAGAAGAAACTTGTGGAAATCCTAACTACCGGTGAAGAGATGAAGCTCATTACCGGCGGTGCTAGAGAAAAGGAATGGATCGGAAGTGAGGAGGCTACCATCGAGAGAAAGATCAAGGCTGCTGGTCTTGCGGACAAACAAATGAAAGTCATTGAGGAGCTCGACGGCTGGAGGAGGAGGGCACTCGGCCTACTCTGGGCTTATATCTACCGTGTGGATCTGGGAAGTGAGAAGCTGAGCAACGGTATATCTCCTAAACCCTGTCGCTCGATCCTGAGATTACTAAAAATTTCCAGCTAAATTGGATGTCGCGCCTGCTGCAATTGCTCTCAACAAGAGCTTCCACGCAATTGCCCTCGCCTATTCCAACACCCAACCAGTTATGGCCTCCATGCGCTTGAACCAATGCCTTGTTCAAGCGGTTCCTCCGCATGCCTCTCCTCTGCTCCAACTCCCCCACTTCACAAATAAGACCGTGGCTGCTATCGAGCAGGATGGTGGAAAGAACCACTGGACCGTCCAACGTTTTATAGCTTGCCCCGCGGAGAAGCGCAAAAAGTTGTGTGTTGGCAAGGGACTCCTGAATGATGAACAATACGAACAAGCCATCAACTTTGCTAAAGCGCTCCCGGCATTGAGTATTGAATCTGCTTTCTTCAAAGTTATGGGAGAGAAATATATCACCCCGGCTAGCCTGGTTAATTTTGTTGTCAAAATGCGAGTTGTTCCCCCTGGATCTACACCGCCAGCAGTCGATGCCAAGGATCTTTTGGACGAGGACCCCGATGAGACCGATGTCGAAGCTTTATTGGGCCGCGACGGCAAGTCTCAAGGAAAAGCTGGCGACCAGTCGATGACTCCTCTTGCACATGCACCTTACTTTCCCCGGGACTACTCTCCTACTTGGCACATCTTCCTGGCGGACGAAAAACAGGGGAAAATGATTGTTCTTCCGCAGCCAATTACTCGTTGGGAAAAGAGCACCGATAATTTTGCCGTACAAACGTTCAAGCTACAATTCCAAGCACCACCGCAACCTGGAGAATACACCTTTGTCATGCATTGCGTTAGTGACTCCTACCTGGGAGTTGATAAAAAGCAAAATGTGACTCTTGTTATCAGCGACCCTAGCAAGGTTGAGCAGATCAAGGAAGATGAAGAAATCAGTGAACCAGAAGAAGGTATACATTGCTCCCTATAGATATTATCGCAAAGCGATTACTAATGGATCTGTTTGAACTAGATTCTCTCGCAGGTCAGATGAACGCTATGAGAGGCGGCCCGGTAAAGAAGTCCAAGAAGCGAAGTAGCAACGCTGATGATGACGATTCATCCGAAGAGAGCGACACAGATGGCGAGGAGGCGGATGACCAGAGTGAGACAGACACAGACACGGATACAGATGAGGAGTAGAACAAGCACTGTTCATGTTTCTTGTTTGTAATTTACCTTTGCCTTACCCTTTCCGTATCAAGTTTTTACATTGCGTGTTATTTGGGCGCAGCAAAAGAGGTGAAAAGTCTATTTGCCGGCGATCCCGGTTCTTATAATGGTGTTTTTTGTTTTTTGCTTCTCCTATTTGTTTTCCTTCTGGTTTTTTCTTCTTCTCTTCCTCGGGTATCATCATGATAGGCAGACGGTTAGGTTGAGTTATTGTAGATAGAATATTAAGACGTCGCCTACTCCTGCCTTATACATTATTGCTCATGGACCTGTTGTATGGGTTGGTTGGAGGTTTCTTTCCCAGATGGGTGTGGGGTGTTGGAGGGTGCTAGGTCTTGAGCACCAGAGATGTTCACGGCTAGCGATAACTAACTACGGCATGGGTCTTGCGCTATTAACATACCGAAAAAAACGGTACGGTGGTCAACATATGGCTCTATTGTGTTCAAGCACTGGAAGGGTATGATAATCCCCGAACTTGGTCACCTGTAACAATTTGAGTGCGGCGGCAGCGGTGGTGGTAGTGGTTGTGCGAATGATGGAGCTGTGAACTCGTGAGCCGTATTGCGGAGGTTCTTGATTTCACTTGTTCACTGTTTCTTGCACCTGGAAGTATGTCTTGAGAACGCTTATGCCGTGCTTATTCCCGCGAGCCCGATGGAGCTTCCTGCGGAGGTGGGGAGCACCGGTAGTATATGCTACGAGTAGTTTCAGGCTTGTGGGAGGAAAGGGCTTTTTTTGGAGAAGTCGGGACACCTAGGTGATTAGTCCTCGGAGCCCAATTGAGACCGCTTGGTAGCCGGACAGAGGCTGGGACACACCAGAATTACGGGTTTTCGAGTCGTTATATCTTCATAGATAGATATTTTGGAACTTGGCTTTGGAAAAAGAAAAAGAGAAGTGGCATACACTATATATTTATTTCGGGAGTTCGTCAAGGGCTCATACGGAACCCTGGGTCTTGGTAGGAAACACGATACCTTGAGGGAAGGATGGTCCACACTCCACACTACGGTACCCGGGTGGTTTGGGTGGTAGTTACTGAACGAACCTCTAGCTCCTAATTCGGGTGATGATCTATGATGCACGCCCCCGAACCAATCATCACCAACCCCAGAAGTCTTGGCGTTTTGTACAGTGTGATACCACCCCACACGTGAGCCTTTGGCCTTCCCAAAATCAACAAAACAATTTCCAATTATTCTGCCCCCCATCCATCCATCCATCCATCCATCGATCAATCAATCAATCAACCAACCGATCGATCGAGCCTGTACAGCAGCAGCGAAAACAGAAGTAGTGATGGTAACAATCAGCGAAGTCAAATCCGGCAACTCGCGGGAGAACCGCACAGCGGCCCACACACACATCAAGGGACTAGGCCTCCGCGCGGACGGAACGGCTGAGAAAGTCGCAGCGGGTTTCGTGGGGCAGGAGAGCGCGAGGGAAGCTTGCGGCATCGTCGTCGACCTGATCAAGGCGAAGAAGATGTCCGGCCGGGCCGTGTTGCTGGCTGGGGGACCGGGGACGGGGAAGACGGCGCTCGCGCTGGCGGTTTCGCAGGAGCTGGGAACTAAGGTTCCCTTCCGCCCGATCGTCGGTAGCGAGATCTACTCTGCGGAGGTCAAGAAGACGGAGGCTTTGATGGAGAATTTTAGGAGGGCTATTGGTTTGTTTTTCTTCTTCTTCATCTTGTAGTGCTTAAACTGACCGGAGGGGGGGGGTGGTGGTGTAGGTTTGAGAATTAAGGAAACGAAGGAGGTTTATGAGGGGGAGGTTACGGATCTTACTCCCGAGGAGGCGGAGAATCCGCTGGGGGGCTATGGAAAGACTATCTCGCATGTTATTGTTGGGTTGAAGTCTGGAAAGGGTACCAAGAAGCTGCGTCTTGATCCTAGTATCTACGAGAGCATACAGAAGGAGCGTGTTGCGGTCGGAGACGTCATCTACATTGAAGCGAATACTGGTGCTGTCAAGAGGGTTGGCAGAAGTGATGCTTATGCCACCGAGTTTGATCTCGAAGCGGAAGAATATGTGCCAATTCCCAAGGGAGATGTTCACAAGAAGAAGGAGATTGTGCAGGATGTTACATTGCATGATCTTGATGTTGCCAATGCGAAACCACAGGTTTGTTCACCCCCTCCGTTTTGCTCGAAGGGATGATGGATACTAATGATGAGGCTTCAAGGGCGGCCAAGACATAATGTCGATGATGGGTCAACTGATGAAACCCAAAAAGACGGAAATCACCGACAAACTCCGCACAGAAATCAACAAAGTGGTAGAAAAGTACATCGACCAGGGCGTAGCGGAGCTAGTTCCAGGCGTCCTCTTCATTGACGAGGTCCACATGCTGGACATTGAGTGCTTCACCTTCCTCAACCGTGCCCTCGAGTCCAAAATTTCGCCTATCGTGATCCTGGCTTCTAACCGCGGTGTATGCACGATCCGCGGAACCGAAGACATCATGTCTGCCCATGGGATCCCCACCGATCTCCTCGGCCGACTGCTCATTGTCCCGACGTACCCATACGACTTGGACGACATTAGAGTGATCATCAGGATCCGCACAAAGACGGAGTCCCTGGATCTCGAGGACGCAGCTGTGGAGAAGCTTGCGCACAGGGGCGTGGATACTAGTCTTCGCTATGCCCTGCAATTACTCACTCCTGCGTCCATCCTTGCGAAGGTCGCCGGGAGAACGAAGATTCAGGTTGCGGATGTACAGGAGTGCGAAGAACTGTTTATCGATACTAGGAAGAGTGCGGAGATTGTTTCGAAGTTTGGGAGGAGCTTTATTTCTTGACGGCGTGATCTCTTTTCTCCCTTTTCTTTCATCCTTTTCTCCCTCTCCTTTCTAGGGGAAGGGGGCCCTGGTAATTAAAACAAAAGTGTGTTACACTCCGTTGATAATGAAGAGGTAGGGGTTTGTAGTATTATCGTAATTTGGCGATTAGAGTCATTCTTGATGTCAGATATTTTTTCTTCTTAAATAAGCTTATTCTACCAATTATATTCTCGTGTAGTCTAGGCGTGGGACTGGGGGAGTATGAATGATATTGGTAGTTCCTTGTCTAAACTTGATGCTAGTGCTGTGAGTGGGTGATCGGCGCGGATCGTGATGTTATGCATCGGTAGCTGGCGAAGGAATAAATTTAGCACAGGTCACTACTCGAGTATTGCTCCGGGCCGACACTCACGATAGTCTATGGCTAAGATACCATAATTATGATGCACTATGGAGGGAGTTTCGGGATTTTCCGGCCAACCACCGTCTTATGATACAGTACAGTACCGGTATCCCTTTTATGTATGGGTATGATAAGGTAAACGAAACAAACAAGGGGAGCTTTACGCGGGAAGGGAATAAAGATTCCCCACCCTTTGTTATTTATCCCATCGATCCTTATTCACACTTGCCAGTATCATAAGGTCGAAGAAGAAACCAAGCTCTTTTGTACTCGAGTACAGTACAGTACTCGCAGCACCGGTAACTATGCACCTTACTTACTGTATGGTACCCCTCCCCCCCCCCCCAAGACACAACAAATCTCCAGTTACACCAAGAAAAACAAACAAAGAGGCGGCTCTTCACGAGATGACGGTATGGTGCCATATCATTTCAGCTTTCCCTTTGAACGATCACGCTGGCTCGGGACAGAGGCGTATCTTGTCGAGACTTACGGTATCGTAACCCACATCTCGGACATACATCCCGTGTGCGGGTGGATGGATGGATGGAGGAGAATGCTGACAATTACAGTAACTTGACCTCTTAGCACGGGGGAAATCCCCCCCCTCCTCTCCCTCCCCTCACCTCGAGACACGAGCGGTCTAGAGTGGGGTGGAGCGGAGTCAGTACGGTAGCTTATGACGAGTATCTCATCCTTTCGCTCCTCCTTCCACCTCTATATATCCTCCCTCTTCTTCTCCTTCTGCTCTTGTGCGCCCCCCCTCGCCTTCACTCGCAATCTGTTGTAGCTACCCCGCCAACGCTACGGTTACTTCCACTGCTACCGCCGCCACTAAACTGCCCACGTATCATAACTTGTAAGTCACCTACCGTATTATGCCTTCCGCCCCCCCCCTTCCCTCCCCTCCTCACTCCTCCCTCAAGCCCTTCAAGTCAATAACAAATAAAACAGACGATAAACAAATCGAAGAAAGAAAAAATGGCCTCTCCAGCTCACGCATTCTACTGCTTCGAAGTCCTCTCAGCGAACTTCGAGAAACGCCATTCTCGTCCGTTGGCTAAAATCGAGGAAATCTACCACAAACACAAGGCTTCCTCTGCTGCGGCTGCTACGAACGGGCACACAAATGGTCACGCGAACGGGCATGCAAATGGCCATGCCAGCGGTATTCATTCGGCCCCGCTGTTTGTCACCTGGAATAGGTTCCCCAAGTCCGGTCCCAAGTACCTTCGTGGGTGTATTGGGACTTTTGAAGCTCAGCTGTTGGACTACGGACTTAAGACCTATGCCCTCACTTCGTTTGTTCCCCTCACCTCCTCACCCCTGCACCTGCTCCTGTTGGTTGATGATGTGGCGCTTACGAACAAGTAGTGCGTTGGAAGATACCCGTTTCAATCCCATCACTCTCAAAGAGCTTCCGAAGCTCGAATGCGCAGTTACCATCCTGACTGACTTCGAACCCGCCGAGGGTCCCATGGCTTGGGAAATTGGCACTCACGGGCTTAGGATTAACTTTGTGTACCATGGCAGACGCATGGGAGCTACTTATCTCCCCGACGTAGCCAAGGAGCAGGGTTGGACTAAGGAGGAGACTTTGGTTAGTCTTATGCGCAAGGCGGGATGGACCGGGAAGAAGGATGATTGGAATAAGGTTCAATTGGACGTTGTCACTTATCGCGGGACTAAGGCGAGCGTCACGTGGGAGGAGTATAGAGGTTTGCTTGCGGTAGAAGGGGAGGAGGAGGAGGATGAAGATGATTTGGATGAGGGGGAGGAGGAATAGACTTAGAATGCGTTGCTTTTTATTTTATTTTATACTTTCTTGTGTCTCGTAGAGGTTATAGCTAGATGTAGTGATGGTGAACGCTGCATAGATATGCTTTTTTCCTTTTTTCCTTTTTCCCTTGAGAGGGGAATTGGGGGGGGGTGGGCATGGCCTCTTTTTTTTTTTTTTTTTTTTTTGAGCTATCGTAGTTGGTTTTGCAGTTGGCTTTGCAGGACTGGATACTTGGAGCACTTTATGCTGATGAGAGGAGTGGTGAATGTTTCTACTGGTACTATCGTTTTTGTTTGGGTCAATTGGCGGATACCACGGTACGGTACCGGTATGGCAACGATGCGATGTTTTCCTCTGCTCATCTCATCCATCGTGTCTTTGTGACCCTGCATGATGTTGAAACCTGCCCACTCAGCGTCCATCATCGAGCAAACTGAACCCTCACATTCCCTCGGAATCTATGATACTCGAGCACAGCCAGCTCTCTCCGGGAGCACACTCGAGTACGAGTACTCGAGTACAACTGACTACCCCACCCCGCCGTGTACCCGGACAACCGTAAAATAAATAAATAAATGTCCCGTCAAATCGTTGTCCAATAGCCCACACGCACAGGAACCTATCGAACATGAGTAAAATCGACGCCCCCTATTACACCCGAAAAGGATGGAAACCAGGGTGAATCATTCTCCCCTCCACTTTCCCCTCCAACTTTCCTGGGAATGGAAATGGCAAGTCGGAGTGAATATGAAGGGTTGGTTATTTTGTAACGTTTTTTTGGTGGAAAGAAGGAAAGGAGAGTACCGGTAACCAGGGGGGATGGTTGGTATTTATAAGTTTGGGAAATTCTTTTCTTCTTTCGTAGATGGTACCGGGGTTGGCGAAATATTGACACAATAGCCTTGTGGATGATTATTTTTCTTTTTTTTCTTTTCTGTCAGGGGGCTGAGTGGGGTTTTTACCCCTCCTCTCTCTTTTTTCTTTTTTTTTCTTGATGAGGTTTTCTGTTTATTATTATTATTCTTTTACTATCATACTTGTATTTGTTTGATTGTTGACTTGTTTGTATTGGTCGGTCTGGCTGTATAAGTTATTGTGCGTTTCATACCGGTATCATACGTACCTATCATATCATATCGTGCCTGCTATAGTAGCTGCCTACTTACCTACCGGTACCTACCTGCCTCCGTATAGCTCTTCGTCTTCTCCCACGGTATTTTCGTGCAAGCTCGACAACAGCAACGACCGAGCGACGGCCATAACAGCAACTTCTCCAAGCATAAATATTATGGCACCGCGCGGTAGAGGTGGAAAGTTCGGCAAGCCTACTCGTGGTGGTCTGTTCTTTCCTTCCTTCCTTATAATCATCCACTATGCTAACGATACTTTTCCATAGGCGGCAAGCACTTCTCGAGAAATCTAGCACCCCTAGATAACGACGATGGCGAGAGTATTCCAGAGGGAATGTGGGGCGTACGTTCCCCTCCCTTCCTTTTCTACATACTCCACCATTACTCTAACAGAGCACAGGAACCTCGCGACCCGAAACCCGAAATCCCCTCCTCCGAGGACGAAGATGAGGAGGAAGAGGAAGGAGAGGAAGGAGAAGGAGAAGACGCGGACAAGCCCGAACTAACCCGTGAAGAACGCCGCGCGGCAAAACAAGCCCGTAAAGAAGCCGCTCGCGCCAAATCCACCGGTACCGTCGGTCAATCCTCCCTCCCTTCTTCTGGGGATGAAGACGAAGAGATCACCACCCCCGCCGTTGAAAAGGCTAGGAGGAGTGTTATCGCAACGGCGAATCCCAACGCTCCCGGTAGCTCCGATGGAGGTGGAGGTGGAGGTGGGGGAGGAGGAGGGGGCAGGGGGCTGACGAGGAGGGAGCGGGAAGCGATAGAGGCTGCCGCTGCTAAGGAGAAGTTTTGGAAATTGCAGGAGGCTGGCAAGACTGATCAGGCGAGGGCCGACCTTGCCAGGTTGGCGGTTATTAGGAAGGAGAGGGAGGAGAAGGCGAGGCAGCGGAAGGCAGAGTTGGAGGAGAGGAAGGCTGCTGCTGAGGCGAAGGCTGCGGCCAGTGGGAGGAAGAAGTAGTAGTACTTTTGGGGGTGGAAGATAGGGATGAGGGGTCATTCGGCTTGTGCTTTCCAAACTTTCTTTTTCTTTTCGTTACTTTTTATTTATTACACTCTTCTGGTACTGCATCTGCCGTGTAAGTGTGTGGGGTCGGTATACTCCCAGTGTGTTCCATCATAGATATCTTGGGGGAGTGCGATACCGGTACTCGATCAAATAACTCTCATCATGGAGTAGCGGTATCACACCTTACCAAAGCCACCGTCTTCGCGGGTCGTACTTTGAAACACACAGATGGGCCACCACCACTAATCCCGCCAACAACTTTCCTGGTGCGGCCAATACAATACGTCTCCGCCCTTACATAATTATAGACCCCCCCCTGCCGCCAGTGGATACCGCTGCGGACCGACTTGTTACTATAATATTATTACGGTATCCTAACCTCGCTAAATTAAACATTCCTCTGCCATGGTAGCCCGTGAGTGATAAACAATGACCCGCACCTGATCTAACCAGACTGTTAAATTGTACAATATTATCATATCATATCATATCATATCAATTCCATATCTCAACCTAACCTAACCTAAATAACATGCTACCATGTCGTGCTGTATATCCCCCGTTCATTTGGCCCTGTCATAATGTCTCGAATGCGGCATCCTCAGAAAAGAAAAGGGGAAAGAAAAGCGGTATGTAGTGTACGATGCAAATGCACAATAACACCCGCTATCAATCGATCAGGACCACCGCCGCTAAAACAAGCGGAACAAAACAGAAATCAACTTAACCGCCGACCAGCCCGATGAATAACATAAGCAATGAGTAACTGAGTAAGTGGAGACACAATAAGAACGCACTCCGGGGGATCCAATCCTATCAAATCAAACTATCCTATTGTTCTGCTAAAGAGTGGTGGAAAAGGGGATGAGAGGGAAAGGAGGGGGGAAAGGAGTAGGAAAAGGAAAGGAAAGATGAAAATAAATGCTGCCTCTAAGTTTTCTCCAAAATACCGTCTTTTTTTTCCCTCCCCGCCCCCGCGAGGAGTGTCAGTAGAACCGATATAACAGCCGCCAATTCTCACCCGCCCTGTATGGCTGGTTCCCAATGCATACGTCGTGTAAAAGCGATCATAAAACAAAGAGAATGTTAAAAAAGCAGTGTTTGTAGCGCTAGTGATGATAAAGAAACAACAGTAGAGGGAGGGAATCAGGGGAAAAAGAGGTGATCAATAATTCGGTAGAATCCACCTTACCGTTCGATCTCCATATCTTCTCTGAGCTGCCTAGCAACCGCGGTATCATCGTCCTCGACTCCAACACCGACAGCTCCTTGGAATGGAACAGTCATATCCTGGCCGGGCTCCCTCTTCATTTCAGCCATAAGCCTATCCATCAGGTGCTGGTCGCGCATGGTCCTATCCTCCTCCGTCAATACGTCACCTTCACTCAGCGCAGCTCTCGCGGCGGCTACCGCGGCGGCGCGCTGTTGGTGGGAAGCCTGGGCGGATGTACCACCCATGGTCTGGTTGACATTGATGGTAACCGCAGCAGTGGCTGTGTTGTCGGGACCATGTGGGGGAGGGGCGGCGTCCATGCGCATGTTTGCAACTGGGGCGAATTGCTGGGGAATGTGGTGTGTGTGCTGGACATCTTCCATCATAGCGGGGTCGACGGGGATGTCCATTTGTGCGGCAGCGGCGCGGGCTGCTGCTGCCTGTTGCTGCTGCTGACGCTGGATGAGCAGGGCCTGGGTGTTTGGAGAGATTTGCTGCAATTGAGGTTGTTGGAGCTGCTGCTGCGGTAGTGTGAGTGAAAGTGGTAATTGCTGTTGTTGTTGCTGTTGCTGTTGCGGGTGCGGGTGCGGGTGCGGGTGCGGGTGCTGCTGTCCTGGTTGCTGAGGTTGTTGCTGCTGCTGCTGGGGTTGCGGTGGGGTGGAATTGACTGGAGAACCATTGAACCGATCTCCTTTGACCACAGGAGCCTTCGCATGCTCCTTACATTCGGCGCAGTTGCGAATGACCTGAGAAACTGTTTCCTTAATCCGAACCCAATGAAACTTCTCCGCGATACTAGCAGTGGTCTTGTTAATACCACCGTGGGACTGGCAGTGAATTGACCTCGCAATCTCGTATTGCATTTGACCGTCGGATACTACTTCCTTATCCTTGAGCATTAGTTTGCCATTTTCGAGCTTATAATGGGTTGCCGCAGATCGAAGTCGAGATTTTTCGGAACGGTCTGCGGTGGGTGGATATTTGCCCTTTTCAAGGTAGAATCTGATCTTATCAAAGCGTTCATCAGAGACATAGTCTTCATCATCGTTAAGATCTCGTCCAAAGATAATGGCATCGACCAAGTAGTTTGATGAACGAAGACGGCCGGCTCCCTTGACCTTTCCAATTCGTTTAAACCCCAAGCTGTCCCAGATTTTGCAGGATGCGATGTTGGTCTCGTAAACGAGATTGAACATCGAGTAGGTATATCCCTAAATGAGAGGTAAGCTTGATTCTCTGGCGGTCGGTCGGGTTCGAGTGCGGGTGCGGGGTTGCTCACAAGTTTCGGAGCATAATCGAGATAAGCCTCTCCAAGATGTTTACCACAGCCTTTCCCTCGAGCTGCGAATGTCGTTAGAAATCCCGCACTGCAAATGTGTGAGCTGCGGCCTTAGTGAGAATCAGCATTTCTGATTTCTCCGTTAATAGATAATTCCGCAGTCTCACCAGGATAATTAGGCTTCACGTAAAAGGTCCCAAGGCACTGTGTGCTCCAATCTCGCTCAACTAGGAGATCCGTTTGCTCCTCTTTCCCACCGAGCAACATGACAGCCCCGAAAGTACCGAACCAGTAGCTAGTAAATTTCTCTAATGACATCGGCTCCTCTAGAGGATAGGTGTTGCCTCGCTCAATTTCGTTATTGACCTCAGTCCAAAGGAAGGCTATCAGCGAGGCCGGAATCTGTGAGGTGTGCATAACCGGGTGCACAGTTGCAATGGAAACATGATCCCGTAAATAGACTGAGCGGGGATGAAGGACAGGATTTGGGTTTGGAGGTGGAAGGACCTGAGCGTCAGGATTTTCAAGCGCTGAATTAGTCGAAGAGTGTCGTGATGGTGAAGAAGAAAGGGAGTCTCGGGTTTGCTGGTGTTGTTGTTGCTGTTGATGTTGCATAGCTCGTTGGTGATCTGTAGCAGTTTGATCAGCCATGATGAATATTGCTCACGGCTGCTGCAGATCTGAGATTGCGGGGTGTGTGGGTGAGTCTGGCCCTTTTGGCGGCCTTGAGGTGTGCTTGCTGCTTGCTTCCTGCTCAATTCTTCCCCGCAGAAGGCGTACTTTGTGGTCCTTCGTGAATCTGGGAACGCAAGGAGAATTGAGAACGGTCTTGCCGGGGAGAAAACAGCTACGGACTCGGTGTGGTATGCGCAGAGCAGTGCTTCGTATTCCCTCGTGAAAGCGCGCTGGAGGAGAGCTCTGGTCTGCGACGCTTCTCTCGGACAGGGCAAATTTTATTGGAGCCTCGTATCACACGGTATACCGTTGCCTGATACTTGACAGGCGGGGGAAATGCCAACTGGAAGCGGCGGTGGTCCTTGATGGTTGCCCTAACAATGTCTTTGTTTTCTTTTCATAGGGTTGTGATATGATACCGGTACTGGCACAGGTATCGATTAGATAATATCTGATAAGCTGGTGAGAGAGGGGCTAAGACCTAAATTTATAATCCAATTGTTAGCCACTTTGCTGATTAGATTCTTGATGATAACGGTGTGGCCTAACAGATAAGGCCGAGCACCCGAAATTCTTTTGGAAAACACTGGGATCTTTCATTGCATGACAGCTCCTCGCCTTCGCTGTGGACGATAGGTCTCCCCCCCGTAAATATGCTGAGGACCTTGCGATGCTCAGTGGTATAATTCCTTCCATCTAGTTGCCTTATTGTACCTTATTGGTATCTTATTTCTATCTAAGAAGCTAGGCTAATTATGAAATGAAATTTCGAAAAATTTAATGTGGAAAAAGTCTTCTAGTCTGCCATTGTCTTTGTTGTACGCGGCTGGAAACCCTTACCGATTGTATACGAGACTCCTTCATTCTGCATCAGAGAGCGACGCGTCAGGTTCTACTGCGGTAGCCGAGGATGATGAGGAGCCCTCTTATACTACTAGTGATAGTTTTAAGTCGTTCCGGAAACAAGGTGCTTATTCAATTCGGAGACCTGAGGCAAGATGGTCCGTACCACCCTCGAATGCGCATGGCTCAGCAGATAACGGGATGAGAAATGGGCCATCCCCAAGATGGTCAAGTGGAGGGGCTTCTGATAGTGCAAGGCCCGCTCCAAGCTCAGCACCGATAGGTCGGCATTGGGTGAACCAGCAGAGCTCCTATGGTCCGCCTTCTCGGCGGGATAATACTGGACGAGCAGCAGCTGGGGGTGATCCGGATCATAAATTTGGCTCAAGGCCTTCATGGAGCTCTCGTCCCGCCCCCAAGCCTGCAGCTGCTGAAGGTGGTGCTCACGACACACGACCTCCACCTCCATCGGGTCCTACTCTATCATGGGCCAATTCTAGGACGAAACCCGACACGCCAGAGCGTGGAAATCCAGGCCCATCATCTGGTCCATTCAGTTCAAGACCAAGGTGGAATGACCCTCCACCACAGCGGCCTTACCAGCGGACGAAGCAACCTAGCGACATCTCACCTATTCGTGCGTCTGGGGGTGGCCGAACTATAGACCACAGCGGGCCCGAAGTATCGGACAGATTTCGGCCGGGTGGGTCACAAGAGGGACCAATCGGCTACACACGCGGGGTCGGTCAAGTCGGGCCTAGGTTTGATACAGGAGTCGGTAAGGGCAGCCAATCCGAATCACTACCAGTTAAAACTGCCCATAGTGGGCTTGGGCGATCCACTGCGACTGACAGGGAATCGCCAATCTATCGTACGTATACTCCCAATGCGCCTGATGACATCAAGACATTCAGATACCACTCACAGAAAGTATCGGGAAGTGTGGAGTGTTTCTCGCGTACTCAAGAAATGAACCGCATGATAGAGGAGATATCAGCTACTTATGTGCCAATCAAGACTAAAGAACAAGATGCTGAACAAAGGAATGCTCAGGAGGGAGAGGCGGGAATAACGGGATTTACATCCGACAATGTGGCAAGGGAACTCCGAACCCAGCCGCTTACTCCAGCTGAGCTAGAATACGAAAGGCGGCAGTCAGCCAAGGCTCGTGGGAGGTCTCGCAGACCTGGGTTTGGTAACGGAGAATCTGCTATCTTAGGAGAGGACGGAGGGCCACTGACTGGTAAAGCTGCAAAGAAGGCAAAGAAGGCAAAGAAGAGGGAAAAGCAAGTTGAGGCGGCGCCGGCCATGGTTCCCCTTTATCTTCCTGAGTACATCAGCGTCGCAAACTTGGCAAGGGCGGTGAAGATGAGGTTGGATGAGTTTATAGTTCAAATGCAAAATATGGGCTTTGAAGATGTCAGTTATGATCATGTGATGAACGCTGAAGTCGCAGGGCTTATTGCCATGGAGTATGGTTATGAGCCAATAGCGGATATCAGCGAGGAAAAGGATCTCCTCCCACGGTATGTTTGATATCCCATTTCTCTGGACAGATCTAATACTCTATAGCCCTCCGCCTGAGGATAGGTCTGTTCTCCAACCCCGCCCTCCAATTGTCACAATTATGGGGCACGTCGATCATGGGAAAACAACCCTTCTTGATTGGTTGCGGAAATCATCGATTGTTGCCACCGAGCATGGCGGTATCACCCAACATATCGGCGCTTTCTCGGTAACAATGCCCTCAGGAAGGATCATTACCTTCCTAGACACTCCTGGTCACTCTGCGTTCCTGTCTATGAGGGAGCGAGGTGCCAACGTTACCGACATCGTGATTCTTGTCGTCGCAGCCGACGATTCGGTCAAACCCCAAACTATAGAAGCAATCAAACACGCAAAGGCTGCGAACGTACCCATAATCGTGGCTATCAACAAGGTTGACAAAGAGGGCTCAGATATCGATGGTGTCAAGCATGATCTCGCAAAGAATGGAGTGGATATTGAAGACTTTGGTGGTGACACTCAGGTTGTGCTTGTTTCTGGAAAGACGGGACAAGGAATGGGGGAACTCGAGGAGGCTACCGTCACGTTGAGCGAAGTTTTGGATATGAGGGCAGAGACAGACGGGCCATGTGAAGGATGGGTGTTAGAAGCAGGAACAGAGAAGAGAGGAAGAGTTGCCACAGTTTTGGTAAACCGGGGGACATTAAGGCCAGGTGACATCATTGTCGCCGGACAGACTTGGGCCAGAGTGCGGAGCTTGATCAACGAGCACGGCGTTGGAGTTGAATTTGCTGCGCCAGGAACCCCTGTTAAAGTTGATGGATGGAGAGACCAGCCATTGGCTGGTGACTTTGTAATACAGGCAGTTTCCGAGGTATGTCCTTATCTCCCCACAGGCTTCCAGTTACTCATGCCATCCGCAGGACAAAGCAAAGACAGCTATCAACTTTCGCATGGAAAAGGCAGAGCGCCTCCGACAAGCCGCAGACATAGAAGCTATCAACAACCAACGCCGCGCGCAACGTGAGAAAGAAGCAGCCGAGAAAGAGATTCGGGAACGAGCCTTAGCAAATAACCAAGATCCCGACGCCGCTGTCGCTGCTAGTGAAAAGCTTGCAGCAGAGAGCCGGAAGAAGTACGAGGTTGTCAACTTCATTGTGAAAGGCGATGTCGCCGGGTCCGTAGAGGCAGTGGTGGAAGCCGTCTCACCGCTCGGCAACGAAGAAGTCAGGGCACGAGTCATCAGGTCCTCTTTCGGAGCTGTGACTGAATTCGACATAGATCATGCTGCTGCAGCCGAAGGTGAGTTTCACACATTCTCTCACCCCTCCTCCGTCTATCTTTCGCATAATCTGATAGAACAAGCAGGCTACGTCCTCTGCTTCAACCTCTCGGTCGAATCTGAAATCATCCAATACGCCCGAAACAAAGGTGTGACCATAATGACCCACAACGTCATCTATCGCCTAGTAGACGAAGTCTCCGCGAAGCTCTCTGAAAAGCTTGCCCCACTGATAAAGCACTCTGTCAAGGCCGAAGCAGAGATCCTCCAAATCTTCTCCATCAACGTGAGGCGGCGAAAGACCACACCAGTTGCAGGATCCCAGGTGAAGAACGGGAATCTCTACAAGCACGATAAGGTCCGGGTGCTAAGGGACGGGAAAATCATCTACGATGGGGAGTTCGAGTCCATGAAAATTTTCACCAAGGAGGCCACCGAAGTGAAGAAGGGGGGTGAGTGCGGGCTCGGGTTTAAAGGGTGGGGAGACTTCCAGCCCGGTGACACGATTCAGACGTATGAGGTTATTGAGGAAGCGAGGACTATCTAGTACCCCCCTATTCTCCTTAATAATTCTTCCCTTTTACCGGCTCAGGAGTTTGCTACTTTTTCTTTTCACCTCAACAAGGACTAGTGAAGTTTTCCACGCAAACGCAAAAGCGCAGAAGGTCTAAAAAAGGAATAATGCCAGGTCAGCACGGTTCAAGTGATGTTATTCATTCAACCAGTCAGTTGGCCGATGGTGATCCGGGCATCATATCATTCAAAAATAAAACTGGGAATAGGGAATTAAGAGTTATATTATGATATATATATATTTCCTTCCTGTTTTCTACACTTTCTTTTTACTCCTTTCATCACGCTTACTCACTATACTTGAACCCCACCTCCATTCAGGCTATCATCACCATTATAATGATCATTATATCCTCTCTGCATGTCTCTGTATAACATACTGGTATACTTGCACGTTGCAAAAGTTTCCGGAAATGTGGGGGTTAGCTTGGCGCAAATCCGGGCAGGATCTCCAGCTAAAAGGTGTTAAGCCTAATCTCCACATTTCCGGAAACTTTTGCAAGGCGCAATTAGTTTCGGCGTTGTCGTTTTGCACCCCACTGTATATGGGATTGATTGATTGGTGGCTAGCATATCATTCAAAAGTTTCTTCTTGTCGTGAGTAGATGGGGGCTATTGTAGGCATTTTTTTGGCGATTAGTTTTCAAGGTTGTCAGTGGGAGAAAGAGCTCGTTTATTTTAGGACCTGTTCAAAAAAATGGCATAAAAGTGGCTTTTATGCTATAAATTTTGCAAACTCAAACTTCTTATTTGGGGGTGTGTTCGGTGCGCACAAAAATATTGCGGTATTCTTCAATTTCCCTTACAATTATGTAGAGAAAATATGCCATATATTTATCTTGGAATATATGAGGTTTTATGTGATATATTTATATCGTGACGCACCGAACGGGGCCCAAGAAATATTTATGGCGAGTGACTAGTCATGCATTTGGGATCAGCTATACAAGCATTCTAATTTTATGATGGGGTCGGAGGGAGGAAGCTAAAATGCCTAGAATCAAATATGGGTCGAATGAGAAACCATTTCCAATTACCCGCGTGCTCACTTTATCATAAGGCATTCAAGAGTCGCTACAAAAACAAGGCAAAGCTTGCCTCTACCCACAAACGTGAGCTCACCCCCAACTCCCCACGTCATGAGAAGAAAACCCACCCTCCCGAAAGGATTAGGGAACAGGGTGTAACTAAAGATATGACCAGAAACAGGTCAAGCTTATGGAGAAAAAAGAAGCAAGGAAAATGCAACATTTAAGCTTCGTTCCGAGAAATAAAAAGACGGGAGTTTAGAGCTTAGGTACAACACATGAAACATTGATGGATTCCATCCCCTCCCCAGAACACCGCAGAAAGTAATCATATTTCATTAAGCGCGGCCCCTTTATTCCTTACCAATGAGAGCCTCGTTCTCCTGTTGGGCAGTCATAAAGGCCTTCTTAAACAGATTGGCATCTAGATAGGGTAGAAAGGGTCAGTTTTCTCTTAGAAGTTAGGGACTATGTTCGTCTTACTCTCGGGATTGGCAAAGCGAATGGCAAGAGTTTGGGCCTCAGGTTCGCCCTCACTAACATCGGCAGATGTGTTCCATACCCAACTTCTATCACTTCCGACATTGGGGGAGAGCTTCATATCAGGGACAACTAGAGAGAAGTGGATGAGCATATTGAACGTGTAATTTGCCAAGTGCGGGGGCCTACTGTAGTGGTTGGCGCAGACTTTGTGAGTCTTGTCTCTTCGCATAACAAGCCTAGTCTTGCCATTTTCCCGGTGCTTAAGAAGTTTGACATCACCAGTTCCACGCTCTTTCCACTCGCGGGAATCTTTATCAAACTTGAAGAGTTTAGCACGCCTTACGCAAACACCAAATTAGCAAGAGCCGTTTCAAAAAGGAGAATTATACAAGAGTTCATACATCTTGAAGACTTCCTCCTCAGACTCCTCGTTGCTTTTAACTTCCACTTTTTCAAGAGAAACAACAGGTTCGAAGTGGACGTCGGGGGACTCAGGTGCTTCCTCCTTAATGATTAAAATATGTTAGTAAATCTGCATAAAGCTCAAACCGTGGGCTTTCGGGGAACAAACATCGCCATCCTTTTTTTCCTTAGGCTCATCTTCTTCATCGTCCTTCTCCTCTCTCTTTGGCTTAGATCCTCCGCCGAACATAGAAAAAACATTGGCAGAGGTATAAACATCAGAGCCGAAAATAAGTTGCTTGTCGCCTTCCTTCTCGCCTTCAACTTTCTTTTCCTCGGTTGTTGTAGGCTCGGTGGCGGCCGCGGGGGTTTCAACAGGTGTTTCCTCCTGAGGGGCAGGACTGGTATCGGTAGTGTGTGTCATGATATTCTATCGAGCAAAACAAGAGAGTGCGCTTTTTTGTGAGGAAAAAGATGGAAATTCTGGTACGTAGACGTAGGATGGCGGATGGAAAAAAAGGATGTGAATAAGGGGGATGGACGAAGGAAGGCCACAGCAAGAGGGGGCATAGTGGGGTCGACACAAGCAACACCAAATATTTGCCAGGGTGCGCTCTTGGCATTCACCCAAAAGGCAACCACCACTAAAACCCAACCCAATGATAGGGTACCGGTAGGTGACTCTTTGGGCTGCCAGAGCGCACAGTTCATTGCTCAATGCGTAGGGTTCAGCGTTCTCATTTTTTCCCAACCTTTCTTATATATTATCATACCTACTATGATACCCCCGGCAGAGTACGCTGAAGGCATGAATACCATGTCGTGACTTACTGTATTTGTTTTCCCAATTTTCACCGTACCTTTTAGAGGCTGTGCTTCGCATAAGGGTGAAGTGAGAGTATGATATTATGATATAAACATATCATAAGTGAGAAATATCAACCTAGTGCCGTAAGTCCTGTTTGTAAAACATCCTAAAAACCTGCTCCTTCCATCTATGATATGTCAGAACTATGACCTAGTATTTAAGTTGTATGGCACATAAAATAATCTGATTCTGATTCATATAACTTTATATATGTTATTTTTCTTACCTAATAATATTCAGAATTTAGTTTAACTTATAATACATGTATATTTATAATAATAATATTATAATATATATATTATATTATATTTTTATTTTTATTTCCTAATTAGTTTCTTATATTATGATAGATTATTATATAATATTATGAATTGGTATTTTCTTAGCAGGTTTATAAGTTAGGCAGAGACAATCTGTATAGAATCAGACTTGATTAGGCCAATTGAGATTCGTTTTGTAGATGGAGATTTGACTAGGAAGGATCAAAGAGTTGCTTGTTTCGATTATAACTACTAAGAGTAAAGTAAAGTACAATATAATTGTATGAACAATATTATACAATATTATATTATTAAGGTCTCTTCTTTGTTACTTGATGATGTCTAAAAGCTTGAGATGGACTTCAATATTTATATTCCATATCTGAGTGTTCGTGGACTATATCTATCTCTCATACCAATTATGTATCTCTCTAATTATAACTTGCAATGTTGGGTGTTCACCTGAAGTACAAATACTAAGAGAACCTGAAAACTATCACATCCTCTTTAGTAATTACTATTTTGCCAATCGGGAACTGTACTGTCTCCAATAGTAATTATCTGATCTTTGAAGTTATTAGACTTATAGTGTAATGATCCCTCCTCGGATAGTTAGTTCTTGGCGACGGGGAACGATACTTCTCTTCTTCTACTGTCTCCTTCCTTAGTCTTATAATAGCACTAGGCCTCTGCTTACGTTACCGATAGTACAAGACCTCTATCTTCTATTGGGAATGCCTATCGTAAGCTTTCTCTAACTCTTCTCCATGAAGAGCTTTCCTTGGTGTAACTATAAATGTTGCAATAAAGATAAAGATTGTCAAGGTATTTTGTATTCATTAAAGTAATAAGTAGGAAAAGGACTTAGAACAAAGCATGAAGAACCTATTCTCCTCAGCCACATCGGCCTCCTGATATAGTGTTCTTCTCGCCTGTAGTCATGTGACCCAAAGTGGTCATATGTGCGAAACCAAATCATAACAAACTAGTCATGTGACCAAAGCAGTCACACACTCAAAATCTATGACCTCATAGCAAGGTCATGTGCGAAAACTCATAAACCAATTATAACGCAATAAACAAGTCATATGACTTGACTGAGTCATATGCATGAAACCTATGACCTCATAATGAGGTCATGTGCAAAACATAAATCATATGTGTAAGGCATACCCGCAAGGTACACTCACAAGGCATACTTGCCAAGTGCACATCTCATGACTCATAATCAAGTCATGTGCAAAATATAACAAATCATAACATAATAAGTCATATGACCCAAATGAGTCATATGTATGAAACAATAACATACCTATGACTCATAATCATGAGTCATGTGAAAACCTTTTCCGTGCCAATTCACATTCGTGACATATGGTCTAGTTCTTAAAGTAAACTGTATTGAACCCAATTGTCTCTCCGATTGATGAAATGATCAGTTTCATCGGCGGGTTGTGTCTACAGGAGAAGTCATAGATGCAACCTTCCTAAGTTGCCATCTTTAAATCTCTACGACTCCTGATTTAATTTACACATATCCTCTGAATAACCCCCAACTAATTCACAGGAAGCAATTCTACTGGATTGGTAGATATTTTCTTGATTGGCACCTCCTGATTGTTCTAGATAATAGGGCTTTGGTTGTTGTCTAATATTGAGGATAATGTTAGGCGGAGACAACTTAGTAGACTTCAAGATTATCTAGGCCAATTGAGATTCGTTTTTGTAGACGGAGATTGTCTAGGAAGGCTCGAACTTGGCTTGTTTCGTTTATGACTACTAGGAGCGAAGTAAAGTAGGTAAAGTAGGGTAGAATCGTAAAAACAATATTATATTGTTAAAGTCTCTTCTCCGTTGCTTGATGATGTCTAAAGCTTGGGAGGCACTTCGATATTTATATTCCGCGTCTGAGTGTTCACGGACTACATCTATTTAACATACTACTATGTACTTCTTCAATCGTAATTCGCAACGTCGAGTTTTCTTCCAAGGTGCGAACACCTGTGAACCCTGAAAACCATCACACCCTCTTCGATAATTACGATATTTCTTTTGAGGAAATGTACTGCCCCCAATAGTAATATCCCGATTAGTAGAGTCTTTAGACTTATAGACTTAGTTCTTAAGTCGAACTGAGTTGGCTTCAATTGTCTTCGCCATTGATAAAATGATCAGTTTTATCCACGACTAAATTAGCAAAGGTGGTCATTATTACAACCGTCGTAGGTCGCCTGACTCCGATCCTTTATAACTCCATACTCAACCGATAGATTTTCTCTGAATGATTTTCTATTAACTCGCAGGCAGCTATTCCACCAGATTGGTAATTAATCCCTCAGTCGGCAACCCTTGGTTGCTCCCTGGGTAGTAGGTTTCAGTAACTATCGCAGTATTGGGAATCACCCCATGACTACGACGTATTCCGAAACCCTGTTGCAACACTCCGTAAAGTTCGTTGGCTTCTTTGGT